TTTTGTCTTCCAATTCAAGTAAAAAGAGAGCCCATCTTTCTTCAATGTTAGAAAAAGAATAAAATTTTTCTTATTAAGTTAATTCATTTGAAGAATTAATTTTTGATCTTAATTAATCTAAGAGATTACAATATTATTAAAAGTATTCTTCTTTTTAATTTATTTCATTTAATTTAAATTCTTAAAGTTTCTAATATTCAAATTAATCTCTTTATATTTTTAAAGATTAATAATCTTATAATGAATAACCTAAAGATTTTAGATGTTATTCATTTAATATGATTTAACCAGTACCTAAATTACCTTATCTAGCAGTTCTTCCAAAAGCTTATTCTTCAATTCTTTAATTAGAAGGCATAAATGTTAATATCACCTGTAATCCTCCATAATTTTCAATATCATTAGAATTTATATTAGTACCTCTACCTGCAAGATTTGTTGCAACAAATATATAACCTGATTATATTTTTTCAATTTCTTTCTCTTAATTATTATTATTCCTATCATACAATTTGATTTTAGCATGCTTAGAAATCAACTGATTATAAATGATTCTTGCAGTTTAAATTGTTTCACATATTATTAGAACTCCTCTTTTATTTAAACATTCATTAATAGATGAATTTATTATCTATTATAACCATTTCTTTTAATTTACAATCAATAAAGGTAATTCATGAAATAATTATTAATTATTTTATGGTATCAACATCAAATCTACATTATAAACCTCTTTTAACATATCTTATGCATTTTTTGAACCTAATGTACCAGTCAAACCAATTAATCTACCATTATATTTCTTAAAATGTAGTAATATTTATTTAATTTTATTAAATTACTCATTATAAAATGCATCCAACATTTGATAAAAAATTTGTCAATAAAGTTTCAGATGTAATTTCTAAATTATGTTTTATTTATAGAAATTAATGTAATCCATTTCCCCAATATGTATAATCTTAAATTACTCCTGTATTTTGAAAATCAACAGGTTTTATATCACCTTAATAAAGTATATAATAAATATCTTCTTTATATTACATTGCTAATATAGCACTGTGTATCCAACTATGTAATTTAAGTTTAACATATTATTTAAAATAAGTAGGCAACATTATTAATTTAGATTTATCAATTATATTATTAATATAATCTACTAAATGTTTTTCTTTAAATTCATCTATATTTTAAATCTCTTATCCTATTTCTGAAAATTCTTCAATCTTAACTAATTATTCGAGATTGCCAAATTCATAAATTATCTTTCCATCCTCCCCAAATATTGATAAACTTTTGTTTTTTTCTGTATAATTAACTTTTCCATATTGAAAATAATAATATTTAGAATCAATAAATACTATTTTTTGTTCTAGAATATTGATTCATTACCAAATGAGAAGATATATTGGTTAAAGTAGTTCAATACCTACAATTTTAGTAGATAATCTTGCAAATTTGGAACTTTCATCAATAAGCATACTATCAACTTCATCAATAATAGCTATTTACATATTTCTATTTCCCATAGTATTTAATTAATTATGATGATGTCTTAAAGAATCAAATTAAAATTATGATACATCACCATGTACTATGTCTTTTTTATAACATTACTTTTCTCCTTTTTTATATTTTGATCTATCTCTATTTTATTTACATGAAAGATTAAACATTTCATACAATGGTTTTAAGTATTTACAATCTCTCTCTGCTAAAACAAAAGAACTAGTATGTATATTTATTTCTAATCCTTATAAACCATAATATATTGCAACGATACCTATTATTAGAGATTTACCTTCTCCTGTACTCACCTATAATAATACTCCTTTCTTATCATTATCTTTTAATATTATTAATGCACTCATCATTTATGAATAATTCACTATCTATTTAAATTATATTTAAATTGCTTATTTTATTACTGCTAATGATTCAATAATCAATTCATTTCCATTAAATCTCTCTCTCTCTAACTTCTTTACTTACTNTACTTCTTAAGTTATTAGATCTAATCCTTTTTATAGAAGTTGAAGCGCTTCATTTTTTTTATTATTAATGTTACTCTTGATAATAAGATAAGCTTATTCTAAATAAACTGTTGCAAATTAATCATTGTTGGTGTTAAATGTTTTATACTTATTTATACTATTTTAAATATTATTAGAATATAGAGATTTATTAACTTGATGATTTAAAATATCTATTTAATGAAAAGGATTAGTTATGATTTATTTATTATCAACATCTTAAATAACAGAAATCCGAAATTCATCAAATGAAGGTTTATTATCTTATAAATTTTTGTCTTCCAATTCAAGTAAAAAGAGAGCCCATCTTTCTTCAATGTTAGAAAAAGAATAAAATTTTTCTTATTAAGTTAATTCATTTGAAGAATTAATTTTTGATCTTAATTAATCTAAGAGATTACAATATTATTAAAAGTATTCTTCTTTTTAATTTATTTCATTTAATTTAAATTCTTAAAGTTTCTAATATTCAAATTAATCTCTTTATATTTTTAAAGATTAATAATCTTATAATGAATAACCTAAAGATTTTAGATGTTATTCATTTAATATGATTTAACCAGTACCTAAATTACCATATCTAGCAGTTCTTCCAAAAGCTTATTCTTCAATTCTTTAATTAGAAGGCATAAATGTTAATATCACATGTAATCCTCCATAATTTTCAATATCATTAGAATTTATATTAGTACCTCTACCTGCAAGATTTGTTGCAACAAATATATAACCTGATTATATTTTTTCAATTTCTTTCTCTTAATTATTATTATTCCTATCATACAATTTGATTTTAGCATGCTTAGAAATCAACTGATTATAAATGACTCTTGCAGTTTAAATTGTTTCACATATTATTAGAACTCCTCTTTTATTTAAACATTCATTAATAGATGAATTTATTATCTATTATAACCATTTCTTTTAATTTACAATCAATAAAGGTAATTCATGAAATAATTTATAATTATTTTATGGTATCAACATCAAATCTACATTATAAACCTCTTTTAACATATCTTATGTATTTTTTGAACCTAATGTACCAGTCAAACCAATTAATCTACCATTATATTTCTTAAAATATCCAACATTTGATAAAAAATTTGTCAATAAAGTTTCAGATGTAATTTCTAAATTATGTTTTATTTATAGAAATTAATGTAATCCATTTCCCCAATATGTATAATCTTAAATGACTCCTGTATTTTGAAAATCAACAGGTTTTATATCACCTTAACAAATTATATAATGAATATCTTCTTTATATTTCATTGCTAATATAGCACTGTGTATCCAACTATGTAATTTAAGTTTAACATATTATTTAAAATAAGTAGGCAACATTATTAATTTAGATTTATCAATTATATTATTAATATAATCTACTAAATGTTTTTCTTTAAATTCATCTATATTTTAAATCTCTTATCCTATTTCTGAAAATTCTTAAATCTTAACTAATTATTCGAGATTGCCAAATTCATAAATTATCTTTCCATCCTCCCCAAATATTGATAAACTTTTGTTTTTTTCTGTATAATTAACTTTTCCATATTGAAAATAATAATATTTAGAATCAATAAATACTATTTTTTGTTCTAGAATATTGATTCATTACCAAATGAGAAGATATATTGGTTAAAGTAGTTCAATACCTACAATTTTAGTAGATAATCTTGCAAATTTGGAACTTTCATCAATAAGCATACTATCAACTTCATCAATAATAGCTATTTACATATTTCTATTTCCCATAGTATTTAATTAATTATGATGATGTCTTAAAGAATCAAATTAAAATTATGATACATCACCATGTACTATGTCTTTTTTATAACATTACTTTTCTCCTTTTTTATATTTTGATCTATCTCTATTTTATTTACATGAAAGATTAAACATTTCATACAATGGTTTTAAGTATTTACAATCTCTCTCTGCTAAAACAAAAGAACTAGTATGTATATTTATTTCTAATCCTTATAAACCATAATATATTGCAACGATACCTATTATTAGAGATTTACCTTCTCCTGTACTCACCTATAATAATACTCCTTTCTTATCATTATCTTTTAATATTATTAATGCACTCATCATTTATGAATAATTCACTATCTATTTAAATTATATTTAAATTGCTTATTTTATTACTGCTAATGATTCAATAATCAATTCATTTCCATTAAATCTCTCTCTCTCTAACTTCTTTACTTACTCTGCCCATACTCTTATATCATCATATTTCCATTACTCTTTTTCTTTATTCTCATATATTTTTTTGAAGATGTCTTTAATCCTATTATCATTATTTAACTATTCAAATTCACTCTCTAAAATATTGTAATCTTTTGCTCCTCTTATTAAACCAAAACTTAATACTTATTCACTCCAATTATCATCATCTTAATCAATTAAATTATTTATATCTATACTCTCTACATTAATCCTATAATAATATAGACTCTTAAATAATTATTTTAAATTTCCCATCATTTTCTTTTTATCACCTCTCTTTTATTCGACTTTATCTAATATCTCTTTCTATCTCTAAAATGTCCATCCTTATATTTATAATTATTTTATGGTCTCTATTAATTATTCCTCCTTTTACTACTCAAATCTATCATATATCATTTTAATCTCTAACTATTATCTTAACTCTTATACACTTAATTAACGTTTACTATTAATCAATTTCCATTCATTCATATTTATACAATCTAATAAATTCTTAAATTCTGATATATTATCTATCTCTCCTATTCTATTCAGCAGTACCATTGCTAGTTTCTCACATATATCATTGTTCTTTTATATCATTTCATCATTTCTAAACATAATCTGTATAAAAATCTCTATTTCTGATCTTTTATTTCTTATTTTCTTTTACAACATCTATTCTAACCAACTTTACTATAATTTTTACCATCTATTGTTTTATTTTTATGTCCTCCTTAATATATTACATTCTCATTCAGTAATTTTATAGTATCTTATTCTCCTATTGTTTTTTTAAATATCATCATATCTCTATATTTTATTCACCTTATTAAATCAAATTTAATATTTTATTCTTATTACATTTCTCATGAATCAATATAAAACCATCTTCTAATAACTTTAAATTCCAATCTCTTTAATTCTTTGTCTTCTTTATCGTATCTTCTAAATTATAACTTTATAAATAGTTCAAAGTATCTATTAAATCTAAATATCTCTCTATTGGTTTTTAAAATTTTTTCAATACTTGTATTACTTAATCACAATATTCATTAAAAATATCAGATTTAACTCCATTTCTACTAGCACATCTTAACCCTCTAAAAGATAAATTACTGATCCTTTAAGATTTATTGTACAAATTTATTTCTAAAATTTTTAACTAATCTCTATTTAATTTTTATTCAAATTAATAAGCAGAAAAAACACATTCATGTAAAGCTTAGAGTGTTGTTTATTTTTCTTTAAAGGAAGGAATCAGTTGTATTTGTTAAATCTTCATACTTTTTCTATACTATTCTTTTTGTATACGCTTTAATAATTTTCGTTGTTATTTACATATCTTTATTCTATATTAATCTTTCAATCTTTTATACTATATCTTAATCTAATTTTAATTAATTCATCAAAATTGATTATGATAAAATTTTTACACATTCTTGAACCTTTTCAATATATTTGATCTGGGTTTGGGTTTGGTAAAGTATACATGACGTTGTATTTTTCAAATGAATCGTCATTCTAAGTACGGTTGGGGCTCATCTAAAAGGTGGACAAATGTTGCGTTGGGTAAAACCATCATTTTGCCCATTTTTGATAAATTTTTACATAGAAAATCCAAGGTTTTGTA